ACTCAAATGTCCATTATATTACTTGTTACGATATCGTACACATGCGTTATAAAAAAAAACGCAACAACTATATAAGGAGTTGTTCTCCTTATTACATACACTAAAATTTGAGAGTTCTTTTTTTTTCTCTAAATTTCTCTTTCTCTCTCTGTTATCAAGAATCTTGTTTTTAGTAGTTTAGATAATTTGTTTGTTCTAGTTCGGTGACAGAATTGTGAGTATTCTTAGTTTGTCTAAAGTAATGACGAGGTGCTAATTAGCTATTTTTATGTGTTACATCCTGGGAGATAGATGACATCAGTCCTCTTGTATTACAGTGAAAGACGAATCTGTTTTAAGGAAATTGTGTGTAACACATATATCGGTTCCTTCCAATACCGCTACTACATCAACAATCATTTTCCTCTATTTGATTGTTGCTCTATTTATTGTAATTTTTCTTTTCCTTATTTTATTTATATAATTCTAGTAGTGTTTTTAATTTTGTTTTTGTATTTTTCCTAACAAAAACGTCATAGCTATGTTCAAGGAAATGTCTACAAGTTATAAATAGAGGATCAGGAAAGTTTATACTAACATGACTTTCAAATCACTCATTTTCCCAAGATCCTTTGGTAACTGCCCGATTATATTGCAGCTCCTCAGAATTCTGCAAAATCAGATTCATTAGGTCACTCGCAAGCAAGGTTTGCTCTCTGTGAGGCCATTGCATATTCATCAAAAGCATAATACTCACATATTCTTGAAGTTGCTATTGTTACTCAGAAGTGGAAAAGTTGATTCATTATTGCCTTTCAAGTCACTGATTCTCCTGCATTCATATTTGGATTCACAAGAATAGAAGCAAGAGCCAATCAATCAGAGATGTTTTCCCTTTCTCAAAAGAATATTTATTCATTTTCACTTAAATCGGATCATATGCACGATATAATAAAGTTATAATCTGCACTCACAAGTCAGATAAAATGGCCATGGATGCAATCCGAGAAGGGATAGGCCCACTCAGACCACTACCCTGAATCTCTCTGACATTTTAAAAGCTAGAAGTTCAGGGATTAATGAAATAGAA